ATACTTGAAGATTTTCTTGAATTCTTTTGCATGTTGCATGCTATACTGAAGACTCACCCACTAAGACGGATTCCTTGTATGTTTGACATGGTGGGCCAGTTAAGATCTTTCTGATTCTGATCATCAAACTGCCTTTCCTCTGAACCATCAACAGCCCTATTACAGTGGCCTGGATGAGCAGTGAACCTCAAGTTAGCCAAATCACCATCAGTTTCCAGGTTCTTTTCTTGGTCGAATGCACAATCTCCAGGAACAATGAAATGGAAAGAAACTGAACTTATTATAAAACCACTGCACAATCTTCATACTTTCTCCCCAAGTAGTATGGTCATTATTTTTTCCAGTATGTCTTCTAAGAAAAGCATTCCAGCATCAAAAATGGCTAAATGAACCAAGACACTCAGTTAAGCATTTCAGGGTCTCCCAGCCTTTAATGACAGTCCCCTATAGACATATCCACCCCCTCACCAGTTTTACCAAAATGAGCATCACGATCCAGCACAACCTGAAATCACAAGCGACCACAACCAACGCTGACAGTGTCATTTTGAATACAATGTCATACAGCATCATTTCCAGACAATGACTAAAATCACTGAAATGTAAAACAAAATGCAAGTGCATTAGATATTCTGACTATTTGGATACGGCAGATTACAACACGTGAAGGCAAACAGCAGGATTAAAGTGGTCTGCTGTCTTTGGGTGGGAAGCCAACCTAGCATGTGATGATTGGGGGTGGGGGGGGAAAGTTGTCATTCAAAGTGATGAAGAAAGTGCAGGGTTGGACACACATGAACTGTGTAGTTGTTGGTGTACCTCATCATACTCCAGAACATCCATCCATCCATCCATCCATTGTCCAAACCGCTTATCCTTCTGGGACACGGGGGGTCCGGAGACTATCCTGGAAGCTATGGGCATGAGGCGGGGAACAACCCAGGATGGGGGGCCAGCCCATCACAGGGCACACTCACACACCATTCACTCACACACCATTCATTCAAACACTATTCACTCACACACCATTCACTCAAACACCATTCACTCAAACACTATTCACTCACACACCATTTACTCACACACCATTCACTCACACACCATTCACTCAAACACCATTCACTCACACACCATTCACTCAAACACTATTCACTCACACACTATTCACTCAAACACCATTCACTCAAACACCATTCACTCAAACACTATTCACTCACACACCATTCACTCAAACACCATTCACTCACACACCATTCACTCACACACCATTCAGTCACACATGCATACCTATGGGCAATTTTTTTAGTAACTCCAATTAGCCTCAGCATGTCTTTGGACTGTGGGGGGAAACCGGAGCACCTGGAGGAAACCCCACGATGACATGGGGAGAACATGCAAACTCCACACACATGTAACCCAGGCAGAGACTCAAACCCTGGTCACTTCAGAACGTGTCATTAATATTTAGTTTATCTAGTTATACACGGTAGCAGGAAAAAATACTTTATATACACAAAAGGATAGATTTTGTTCCATTCACTGACTCTAGTTGTCTGATAATCTGTGTCATCATATCTCTATAAAGGGGCATTAAGTCTCAACTTCAACAAATATCACTGGCCTCATGGGCATGGAGATTCTAGCTATCCTCTGGCAAAAACACATTTTGTGATCTTTGAAAAATGGAAGCATTCTTTTGTCGCCAGCAAATTCCATACCTCCAGTTGTGGAGTTGGTGGGCGGAGCAACAGCTTCCATGGCAACAAGCAGACAGATTGCTGTGCATATGAGGTTCAAAATATTCTGCCAGCATTAACTGATAACTGTTCAAACTCATGTTCATTTGATTTGACCCTAAAGTTATGCACCTTCAGGGCCTTAAACCCAAAGACAAAAGCTGGTGGTAATGTGCTGGTTTTCTCATTAAGATGAGGGGCTCAAGCACAAATCTATGCACACATGGCTTTTCAGGGGAGTTTTGACAGCCCTTTTCCAGCTCACTGATGACTGAGATCACTGCCATTTTGCATCACCCAAATCGCAAAATGCAATGATAAATAATGATAAATCCTGAATTTGCCATTTGCAAAAGTACAGGTACATTGGAATAGTTCTCTTCGCATAGCCCATCTTGCTCTCCATAGCTGGCGGTCAGTCAGAGTGCTGTGCCCCTGAAGCTGGGGGCTAAGGGCCTTGGTCAAGGACCCACGGACATGTGGCTGTTCTGCCGAGGCCGGGGCTCAAACCGGCAACCCATGATCATAAGCAGAGACTTGGCCCAATGAGCCACTCAATGCTTCAATGGAGGGCAGATGATGGCATGAAACAGAGTGTAAGATTATGGTGTGGACATCCTATGGGGTGAGCGAGGTCAAACTGGGTTCCTTCCTCACTTGGGCCCAAGCCACACACTGAGACCTTGACGCCAGTCCATTTGTAGCTGTTCCTAAGACCTGATGCTTCTTTTGTTTTCATTGTGATGAGAACTGAAAGGCTGTCTTTGTTTTTCCATAGCTTTGGTAAAACTCCTGTTCTGAAAGAGTCCCTTTCGCTCCTTCACAGTAATATGTACATCTGCCCACCAGAGAAGTCTTACACAGGCTTTAAATGTGTCAAGAAGTTTTTTTTTTCATTTTGTATATACATAATGAGTTATTTGTTTGTGTGTTTGTGTGTGTGTGTAGATAGATAAAGCACAGCACCCCAACACTGCAGTTTCTATACATGCCACTATTCATCACATTTTCATTAATATCTGTGCCAGCTATTATCCGATTTCATTGAGGCTTGGCAGTAATATTGAACCAGCTCTGCACATCTGCACAACATCCTGAACGCTGCAGTTATCCCTGCTTTCCCAGATATGCTGCGTAAACACCTGCAATCAGTCAGGTAATTAAATACACCCGTGAAAAATAAAGAACGATGTAAACAGCACTAAAGTGCTACTGTGTATCAAAACAGAATCAGATCTGGCAAATGCTGAGTGTTTCTCTATAAATTAACTTTTGTGCACACTGGTTTGGACTGATTTCCATAGGATAGTGCTCTAATACATTTGCAACGGCAAGAGCAAACTTTGTTTTTCTGATGCTCAAGAGAGTAAAACAATAATATTTTTACAGTTCAAAGCCCAAATATATACTGTATATTATTATATAGACCTTTAACTATTTAATGGAATGATTAACTTAAGTGGTTCCATTCAACATCATAGTAGGCTACCACTTTAACCACCAAAGCGCAAGAGATTAAAACCTGGCCCTGCGTAGAGACAACAGCTGTTCTGACGTTATTTCGCCACAGGGGATCCCAGGGAATAGGGGGGATCGAAGGGGGCAGTGAGAAACAGTAAACGAGTATCGCCTTTTTACTGTACGAACGATGTCATTTTAAGTCTGAAAAGTGATACGTAAATCGGAGAAACGTACAATTCTTCACCTGTAACAATACGACAACGGGACGATGCCCGAAATTTTACATACGTATACACACGTGTTTTCCATTATATACAAGCCTTAATTAATTAATTAATTAATACCAAGTGATGTTGCTCCTGCTTTGGGAGAACGCGATCGTCCTTCAGTTAACCAATAACCAGATCTGACAAGGTCGTTACCAGAGGTCAGTGCAGCTACTATACAGATCAGCTAACGATCGCCTTAATGGAAATAAGGTGTAATACAGAAGAGAAAGAAGCGATAAATTACATGTAACACACTTTTTTCTATTTCAGGTCAATGAATCATGACACTACTATACGGTTATGGCTACCTTAATCTCGTTATCATTATAATCTCAATAACAGGCCTACATATAACTACAGTAATAAATACTTTCGCTAATATTATATAAATAAATCGCACATTAAGTACAAAAAAATAAATAATACTTATATATACGTTCCGCGTTGTAATGTTTGAATTACAACATGCAGTCAACGGCGCGTTTAAAAGTGCAAAAAACCAACAAGTTTAAAACAAAATGGAAAAAAACGAGTAAAAATGAAAGAATTATGTACACCTAATGTTTGGAAGAACGTTCGCGTAAAATATACACCAGATACTGTACAGTACACTACATGTATTTTTGCATTTGAAAACTCAAACAGAACATAGGCCTGAGTTAGTAGAATCAAAATAGTAAAATTTTAAAAAGTAACTAGACAATGAAAAGATAACCATTAAAAAAATAACATCCCCTTAAAATTACAACAAAAAAAAAAAGTATACAAAAAAGGTAGCCTAAATGGCAGCAGTATCTGGATATCTAAAGTTTGTCCAGTTGCCCGGGCTGTAAGGTATAAGAACCAGACTAGCGGAACAACTTGCAGATATCGCCGCGCTACCGCGCCGGAAAACCCGGCTCTCCCGGTAGTGCTGCTAAAAGAGGGCAAACCATGCGATGCAACCCAATTGGTGACCCATATTCAGGACGGTAAGGCGGGGGATGAGGCCGACTGCTCCTCCAAAGCAGCCTGGACACTTTCTCTCTCCGAGCGATACTGGCACCCGAGTCCAAAGAGGATGTCAACGCTTCCGTTTTCGCCTCCGATCTTCCAAAATTAATGGTTATGGCATGCAATCAAATGCATCAAAAACAGCTCCACTACCAAATCGGTCGATTTCTGAAAATGTGCATTTGTAGCTTCCGTTCATCACTTCCCCCAAAGAAATTAATTAAAACGAAGCCATGGTCTGGACGAGAAAAGCCGACGGATCTTTAATAACGGAATCGTTTTGTGCATGGCTTAACAGCTGTCACGCAGTCTTACATAAAGCCATATATTTCAATGAAGTATTTCAGTGGACAATAGAAACATAGCCAGTTTTAAACACGTCCAGTAAAAGCCATAAAACCACCTCGATACACAAAAAGCTCTTGCCTTCAATCATGTAACGGCATCTTTGTGCGGTATATCCATGAGTAACGGAATGTTTTACCACATTATATTTCCCATATATATAAAAAAGATCTTTTCATTCAGTTGAGATAATTACCTGGTCAAGGGGGAGATTGATTATTTCGCTGATGGGCTGCAGTAGACTGGAGCCGGTGCAAGAGGATATCGTTTCGGTGGCCATGATTCCGTCAAAGCTGGCTGACTGTCCGCTCTCTTCTCACCCCCCGTATCCCGACCCCCGTCTCCGTAAGTCCTGCGGCCGCTCACCGTCAGCTGTGCTACAGCACCGCCGCCAGCCCTACGGCGCTCAAAGCAGAGGAGTTGGTGTAGGCGGAGAAGAAAGGCGATGCACCCTTAGCGACCCTGTAGGCTGGAGGAAATTGATGGGAACCGCATCCAATGGCTGTGGCTCCGGTACTCAGCCCCCATCGACTATTCAAAGTGGTATCAGTTTCATGTGTAATCGTCAAATCCACTTTCATCTGTAACTTTCGTGACACTACTGTTTCGATGACACTACTATTTTTTAATGTTTTTTAAATACTAAATTTAAGGTAATGCAATATGTTAAAAAGTCGTTTAAATACTTCATTAAATGCATCTAGGGTACCATAAGCCAGTGTATATATATTTCCCAACTCCGGTGTTGTAAACCAAATAGATATGACATTTCCCTACATATTGATTTCATCCTCATGTAAATGTGACATAGGACTATTGAATTACAAACGTTCAATCATTTAAAGAACAACACTAAAATACTGTCTGTATTGTGGTTAAATGACAGCACTTGAGTGTTGAATGAATTTACTTATGTCGACTTTCCATAAGCTATAACGTTGCTTCTGAATAAGATATGGTGGTGTCGTGTATTTAGGTTTATTGAACCTAGAAGGTTTATTGAAAAAAATCTTCATTGACAAAAAATCAAGGGGCGCAAGATAACACAGATGCATGTCTTTAAAGTTACTATTTAGTGAAAACCTGCTTTCGAAAATGACAGAAAAGCGGTCACAGATTATACATTGAATTACTGTATTAATACCTGACGATACCCCGCCCCCAAAGCTATCAATTCACTTCATTAATTGTTACGAATGTACTGTAGAAGTCTTGAGGCACACGATTATAGATTTAAGATATTTCTGTTACAGGGAAATATACGGATTTTATTATGGCGTATACACCTACGATAGGATGAGTGCCCCCAAGTGTCTATGTAATTGAATAACTACTCTGACATAGCCCCCCCATTTGGAATGCCATATAATTATACTTCTCGAAAATGATTCATACACATTAAAACACAGCTATATTCATTCGAATGATAACATGAAAAAATGTGATGCGAGGACAACAGATTTTCCAATAGCTCACTACTTCTGCTCAATTGCAACCTACTGGCGAAGAGCTTTGGCCATAGATATGAAAAGGTAGATAGCGCGTTTGTGATTGGATATGTGCCTGCGCGGTCGCCATGTTAGGGCGGTCAGCACTTGAATCATTCATAGCGGACCGCGTGGAAAAAATGCCGCAAGCGTGTGCAGCGTTCAGGTGTAGAAACAGACGAAGCCTTGAAAACAGGCATCGCGGGATAACTTTTCACAAGTAAGTGGCAATTTTGTTGTATTTTACTGTTATGTAAATTAGTGAACATGAGCTGTCACTTCAGACTATCCTGGAAATGACCCCTCACCGTTGTGATGATGGCTAACTAACGAAAACATAATGATATGAATAATTGTTAAAGCTGGAATGTGTTTGCACTTATGAGGTTATACACTTGAACTAGCCTAAACCATGATAATCTTGCTAGCTACACCATTCATCCACGTGCCAGAACTAATTTTAACATGTTTTTGTCAAAGGTTTCCCAAAGATCCTGGATTAAGGAAAGCTTGGGCGATAGCTGTCCGACGGAAAGACTTTAAGCCCAATGATACCACAGTTCTCTGTAGCTGTCATTTCAAGGCAGATGATTTTGACAGAACTGGGCAAATTGTACGTCTGAGGGAAAGTGTGATCCCTTCGGTTTTTGCTTCCTTTCCAGACCATCTCAACAAGGTTAGCGTATAATACAGTCATAAGATTTTTTTCGTGGTAAACAGTGTTAATAAATAGTGGAAACTAACTCGAATGATGAGCATAACTAAACCTGATATTGAAAATGAGCGTCCCTTTTAGAGTGTTCTAATATAGATTCTTTGGTCATCACCAAAACATTGTTGTGAGGGTTATTTTTATTACCTTTTTACCTATATTGTTTTTGTCTCATTATTTCATTAAAATAGTTTAATCTGACTGGCCTGTTTCATATAGGGTATTTAGATTATCAAAGGGAAAGGGGATACATGCCTCTCTTTATAACTGAAAACAATGTATGGAAGTTTGATTTGTCAAATAAAGTTTAGTTGTTTTCAGGTATATTTTAGTTGAAATTATAAGCAAACATTACATATATAGTAAGCTGCATCTGTTAGATAACAAAGCTGATTTCTGTATCACTGTGGTTTTCTATTTCTTGATTGTATGTAGAATTGTTATATATTACATAATTGTATTATGTGTGCCCATGTCTAGATTGAAGTGAAGATTATGATAAAAAATGTTTGTAATGGCAATTGTTCATCCTGCAGAGATGGACTTAGTATTTGTCTCGATATACGGATGATTTGACTGGATATTCTCTTAAATGGAATCCGGGGATCAAAAAATGTTTTATTAATACATTGATTTATTAAAACAATAACAGGGAACCAGGTGATTTTCTAACAATATAGTAGATATGGAAATCTACATTTTTTGGGAAACTTCCAAAAGCTGAAATTACAAATAATTCACGCTTGAAGCTGCCTATTCATAGATGGGAGCCTGCATGTGTTAGATGAAGTTGTTAATGTTTTGGCAGAAAGATTTTTCTCACGTTTAGATAAGATAAGATAAGATAAGATAAGAAGAACTTTATTTATCCAGAGGGAAATTCTTTTGTCATACACATGTTCAGTGCAGTAAGAGAGACAGAGATATACATACAATATAAGAAATAGGAATATATATATCTAAGAAATAAGAAATACAATATATACAATAAGAATGTTAGTTTACAATAATATACAATAGGATAGTGCAAAAATAATATCAAGTGGCTCGAAGTAGTAACGATAGCAAATAAACGGAATTCACGATTATTTGTTTATGACCGTTCATCGATCGGTTCCAAAATCGGTTCAGAATTACAGTCGATTATTCAAGATTCAAGATTCAAGATTCAAAGAACTTTATTAATCCCAAAGGGAAATTGCTTTGTCTTGGTTATACAGTTGCTATGAAGAAAGGGAAAAAAAGGAAATAGTATAGGAAAAAGTATTAGAATGGAAAAATATAGATATAAAAATTTAAAGAAAAATACCAATAAGTAGAAGTAAAATATAATAAAATTAAATTAAATAAAGCACACGTTTAGTAATGCACTAGAAATGCCGTGTAGATAAGGAGAAATATTGCACAAATGTAATAGTCAGATATTGCACATGGAACATTAGTTAACAGTAGTGCTGTAAAATATTATTATTGAGCAGGAACTACACATAGTTCAAGTCCCGTACTGACAACATTACAGAGAAGAGTTATATATTTTAATGGCCATTGGGAGAAAAGATCTCCTGTGGCGCTCTGTAGAACACCTGGTCATAATCAGTCTCTGGCTGAAATTGCTCCTTTGATTGGAGAGAACTCTGTATAGCGGGTGAGAAGGACTGTTCAGGATTGTGCGTGTTTTGGACAGGATCCTCCTCCTTGCCACAACATCAACAGAGTCCAGATCCATGCCCAGATTACGCGTTACAGTCGATATTGTAGTTAAGTCTGCATCTTTCCATATTCATTGTATTTGTTTACTAGCGGCTCTTGACCGCTCCAGTATGGCGGACGCGCAGACGCATAGCGGCGACAGCCAGCTGCGGCCCAGCGGCCAATGAGGTATCTACGTTTTTACATCTATGGTTTTGGCCATCCGGTTAGGTCATTTCCTCTTTCCTAGGACAGCCATTGGTTAGTTGGTGTCACGTGATAATGTGCGGATCCGGTCGGCTGCGAAGTCTGCTTCCTGCCCGGTAAGGAGGAGAACGTAAATAGTCTTTGTGCGATCATTTTTGACGTACGCCGACGCTTCGCTGACCATGGTAAGATGCATGGTCCAGGGCTGCCCAAACAAAAGTTACCCCGACTCGGAGTTTACGAATCGACCTCGCAAGCGGTTTTTCAGCTTCCCCAAGGATCAGGCCCGGGTTAAAGTGTGGCTCGCCGCTCTCAGAGAGACGGACAAAGTTCCTTCGGAGGAGCACCGCATCTGCGAGGACCACTTTCTGAAAGATCATATCACACAGCACGGGATCAGCGAAGATGCAATCCCTATTATGCCCCCATATCTGGACGGGACGCTGGCTTTGCCTGCTGAATCTGAAGAGCTCGCCGACCTGTCGGACGTGGACGATTTGCAGGTGACATCGACCGGATCGACGTTGGATGAAATGAGACAGCATTGTTCTGCACGTCTGATTTATTATGCCTGGAGGACTACAGTTTTGGGATTATATAACGATTACGGACATTATATATGTTTTCGATATTCCGCCAAAAAATAGCTAAATTTGACACAGGAAATGCCAGATATGCAAATAATACAGATGAGCTCTGGCTCGTATGAACGGTTACTTTATCAGATCATGGCCAGTCTTAATTTTCGTATTCCTTATAGCTGTACTGCAACCACTTAAAACTGGGAAATTACGTACATAACTGGTAGCAGTAATGAATATTAGTGGTTTCCATATTTCAGGAAGCTCGACAAGGTTCATACAACAGTGTCATCTGTTTTTATGTTGAAGAAAAGTTCGATTTGTTTTTACTTTTGCGCTTCTTCAGACCCGTAAACATCATTGCGGTGGTCGGCACGATCATAAACTCTTGCGTGCAGCACACCTTTCCTTTCGAGGTGGTTCCTGCTTTTTTCAAATATACATTCACTTTGGCTTTGGGTAATTGCAAATTTAACCACCGCTTATAGGCTTAGCAGTCCCTTTATGCAGGTTGTTTTCGAACTAGTTATTTTAATAACTAGCTCTCGCATAATACAATGTAGCTTCGGTTTGTAAGATTTTTTCCTAGTTTTCTCTTGGCTGAATTTCGTGTTAATTATGTGTTGCATCTGAATCTGCACACTTTATAATATTTCTGTTTACAAATGAGGTTTTTAAGCAGTACAGTGGTACCTCAGTTCTCGAACTCATTAGAACTCGAATTTCTTAAAAGTCGAACCAACCAGTTCGAAAAAAAAGAGTTAGAACTACATCTGAATCTCATAAGTCAAACCGTGAACGCCGACCTAGGATAACTTGTACGCGCGGGGAAATCAGTCACGCCGCACGTCTCTCAGGGGAAACAAAGGGTAACGCTTCAGTCTCAGCCTCGCATTCGCTGTTATAGTATCGTGCATGTTTACACTACCTGAATACATATATTTAGACAGTAAAGATACATTTAGACAATGATAGACAGTAACAGTAATTATTATATAATAAAATACATTTAAAAATAAAGATGTCTTATTAATTAATTTAATAATAAACCATTAATACATTGAATTATAATAATATTATCGTGCCAAGCGGACGCAACGGAGACAAAGGCGCAGACGTCAGGGTATCGGGAATACGGGGTTTAATTACGGGTAAGGCAGGCAAAACGCAGACAGACAATACAATGACAGGACTGGGGAAATGCAGAGGGCTAATGACAACAACCAGAAACGGCTGATCACACGGGGATTCCACACGGGGTTAACGAGGGGGCGTGGCACACGGAAGGAGCGGACGATCAGGGCAGGACACATAGTTTTTTTTTTAACTTTAGACATTGTTTGGATACATTTATTTTCTTACTTTACAAAATACTGTTTTGATAAATGTGCTTAGATGTGTTTAGTACAGTATATGCTTGTCTTGTTTTATCCGGTTCATTTTGTGTTTAAATGCAAAAAAAAAAAACATATTTAGGTGTAAATTTTTGGGGGCGTGAACCAATTAATTGGTTTTCCATTATTTCTTATGGGGAAAATTTGATCACAACTCGAACTTTTTAGGATTGGATCCGGAGTTCTGAACGTATTAAATTCGGTTAGACTTCTGAGATTCAGATGTAGTTCTCATCATCAGATGTTTTCCTACATGTGGTTGGTAATTCACTATGAAAACAGTAAAGGTAAAAGGTAAACAAATTTCAGGTGGCAGTCAGAACGGAAGCTATCCACAGCTGAAAGGCGTAATGGGACACCATCCTCTATAGGCCTTTTATGTGATTTTAAATATTTATATAAGATGAAAAACTAAGTAATTCCTGCTTGTTGGCATTAGATGCATCACAAAAGAAAGAAGCATAGTAACCAAACCCAGTGAATCATAAACCCTTTACAAAAAAGAAATTATCATTGACCACCTCATAATTGCCCTGAATTTTAAGTGATGTTTGCGTTTCCATTTCAGAATGACTACAGCGGAGACAGAATTGATGAGGAACAGACGTGGGAGAATGAGGCTTGTGAAGGTTTTGAGGATGACGCTGAGTAAGTTTCGTGTGACTGTAGGATGTACCTGTTAGTGTTGGGCGGTGTACCGGTTCATACCAAAAACCGTTTTTTATTATTGTTATGACATGAAATTCTTATACCACAATACCGGTTTAAATAGCCTAAACAATCTTCGGAAAGTGGCGCAGCTGGAAGCTGTTTAAGGGGAGACCTTTTTCACTGCTGCACTGCTAAAAATGTACCGCGATAGATCAGATACAGAAGATATAGCTGACGCTGGAGTTGAAAATAATGAGAGACTGGGGTTGTCAAAAAAATCGATTCTCAAATACTAATCAATATTAAAAATTAGTATCTGATTTAGATACTTAATTTCAACATTGTTGATACCAATAGTGAGGTTTTTGCCATTCGCCACACTTCACAGAGCACCACTGCAGCGCAGGCACGTGTACATGCACTCATTCAGCCCCTGCACTCCTCTCAGTTGCCGCTGAACGCATTCGCGCTGGTTAACACTCGCATACCGAGTTGGCCGATCATGGCATATGCTGCAGTTGAAGGCACTTCGCAAGCTGCTTTAATAAAAAAAAAGCGCAAAAGTGCCGTTTGGAAGTATTCTGCAGACGAGCATGGAAAGGCTAAGGATGTCGATAAGCTTCTATGCAAACACTGCTACAAAGTTGTGGCGACGAAGTCAAGTAGCACGTCAAACTTGCCGAAGCATCTTAAAGACAGACATCCCGTTCTGCAACAATGAACTATTAAACACTTATCAAAAATGTTAACTTGGCCGGCGCGCACCTTAACATTAGCCGTTTATCTATAAGCAGTTAGCCAACAAACACGTTAGTCATATGTTATCATTAAGGTAGCGGATACACGCAATGGCTAATAATAAAATAATATAGTTAATGTGGGAACAATACAAAAACGTAAAACGAAAATGTCCTGTAAAATGTGGTAAATGCCCAGTCATACTTAAATAAATAAATACCGTCGTATACAGTGAAACCGATATAACTCAGAAAAATAGCGTGATATAAATTTTTGGTCGTACTGCCCAGCTCTAGTACCTGTACCCTACTGTCTTATTTAATTGTGTGTTTGGGACCTGCCATCAGTACTGTTGGTTTCAGGATTTTATACAATTATACAAACAGTATGAACTTGGAAGGACTGAGGATTCACTCCTAAAATCAGACCATGGTAAATCGATAACAAATAGTCTGGCATTAGGATGACTCTTTAGTTAGTGTGTAGTCAGACATTTATATTACATTAAGCAGACTCTTTTGTCCAGAGCAATGTACGTGTGAGGTCAGATAGTGGTGTCAGTTTTCCTGGTGCAGTTGGAGTTAAGGGCCTTGCTCATGGGCACAAAGGTGATTCCATTACACAGACACAGGACTGGAACCTACAACCTTCTGGATAGGGCTGTGTGATATGACAATATATATTAGATAACGAAATAAAAATGTCTATCATTTGTGTGCTGTCGCAAAATACAGTTTACAGCAACCTTTTTTCATCATTTGGATGATGGTTTGCAATGTTACATGGAGTTAAGGTTTAAACTAGAACCCACTTTCTGGAATATTTCAGTATAGATCTGCATATCCCCACATACATCATTAAGTGAGAATTCCAGGGAGGTATACCTGACAGTGGTTTTGGGTTTAAACATTAATTTTACCACGGTGTCATAGTTAACTTTACATTAAATTTTCCGGCTGTAATATCTTTTATCAAAAGCATTGTCCCCCATAGTTTAATGCTTAAAGCACTGGACACGTCTGTTTTATTTAGATTTATAAATGGACCCAACAGAACAGAAAAAGTATTGCAAGGCAAGTCATACTATTTCGAAAAATATTTTCCCACCCTTAGGGGCTCCATATACGGCAATTGCTCTGTAGAAAAAAATCCCAAATACATCACTGTCCACAAATTTGTATTTTTTATTTGTGTTGTGTAAAATCATATCCACAAAAATATGGAGCGATCTGTCCACGTGAAATGGGTTTTGCATATTTCCCATTTCTGGATCACTTACCTATTTGACTGCAACGTTACAATTTATACCACAGCTAATTTGTAGAAAAAATCCATAAATATTAGGTGCAGCTGCGATATATATATCGTTATCGGGATGTGAGATGACTTGTGAGATTTTGCTCATATCGCACAGCCCTGCTTCTGGGCTTTGGCACAGAGTGAGGCCAGTTTTTTGTTATGCCAACAAGAGCTATGAAATACAGGGATTTTTAAGGAAAGAACATAGATACTTAGGCTCTTGAACTGGTAGGCATCTGGAATAAAATGCATGATTTGCTCTGTGATGTGAACAAGCATCTGGCAAACGCCTGATTACTAGGCCATAGCTCACAGTTGTTCCCCAACCTAGCCCCACCTCCAGAACATCCATATATAAAATTATGCAAGTGTAACTTGATGTGTGAATGCCTGCTAGATTATTATTACTAAAACCAACTATGCCTTTTCCACCCCAGGAATAACCTCACAAAAACTGAAGAGGAGATAGACCCAAAAGACAGTATTCCCAAAACGAAAGGTATGGGGCATGGTTTAAAGGGATCCCGTCTAGTAAGNTAAATTTTCCGGCTGTAATATCTTTTATCAAAAGCATTGTCCCCCATAGTTTAATGCTTAAAGCACTGGACACGTCTGTTTTATTTAGATTTATAAATGGACCCAACAGAACAGAAAAAGTATTGCAAGGCAAGTCATACTATTTCGAAAAATATTTTCCCACCCTTAGGGGCTCCATATACGGCAATTGCTCTGTAGAAAAAAATCCCAAATACATCACTGTCCACAAATTTGTATTTTTTATTTGTGTTGTGTAAAATCATATCCACAAAAATATGGAGCGATCTGTCCATGTGAAATGGGTTTTGCATATTTCCCATTTCTGGATCACTTACCTATTTGTCTGCAACGTTACAATTTATACCACAGCTAATTTGTAGAAAAAATCCATAAATATTAGGTGCAGCTGCGATATATATATCGTTATCGGGATGTGAGATGACTTGTGAGATTTTGCTCATATCGCACAGCCCTGCTTCTGGGCTTTGGCACAGAGTGAGGCCAGTTTTTTGTTATGCCAACAAGAGCTATGAAATACAGGGATTTTTAAGGAAAGAACATAGATACTTAGGCTCTTGAACTGGTAGGCATCTGGAATAAAATGCATGATTTGCTCTGTGATGTGAACAAGCATCTGGCAAACGCCTGATTACTAGGCCATAGCTCACAGTTGTTCCCCAACCTAGCCCCACCTCCAGAACATCCATATATAAAATTATGCAAGTGTAACTTGATGTGTGAATGCCTGCTAGATTATTATTACTAAAACCAACTATGCCTTTTCCACCCCAGGAATAACCTCACAAAAACTGAAGAGGAGATAGACCCAAAAGACAGTATTCCCAAAACGAAAGGTATGGGGCATGGTTTAAAGGGATCCCGTCTAGTAAGACATGTAAGCCAAAATATGCTATAATCACTCCCTCCTACAAAAAAAAAACATAGTTAGAATCACGTGAAATATTTTCATTATTTAGAAAATCTTAACAGTTTAATACACAATTTGAACTATGGGTGTCGCCATTATTTTCAGTGTGCAATGCACTCTGGGTCGATGACGTCAGAAGGTTGCAGTCGGGTTGAGAGGTGAACTATTGGCGCTAAGCTTCTCTGTCGCTATAGCCGGAAAACAAAAACGATGCCACATTGTGCGGCTTTCGGTTGTAATTCACAGTCGAAAGGCAACAAGGGAAGTGATGTGAGCCTTCACAGCTTTCCTCACAACAAGGAAAGAAGAAAAGAATGGGAAAATGTTTGAGGACGAGTACAGCTCCATAAAGACCCGCGGCTGTGTTCGTTGCACTTCAGCCCTGATGCATTTGAGGCGTTTAGTCGACCAAGGCTGCTAAAAGAGCTCACAGGTGCTGCTGGTTATAAGCGAAGACTTAAACCAAATGCCGTGCCTACAATTTTCCCCCTACAAGGACTCTAAACGCCGCCCGCGCATAGCGAGTGAAAACCGTGCTAAGAAACGCCAAAGACAGGAGACGCTGGATGCTCTCCTGTTAGCATGTAAACAACCCGCTCCTACAGCTGCAGCCGCGGAAAGCGAATCATCAGAGGGCTGCGCTCTGACCATGCCGATCTTGGAGGAAACCGACAGTCAACCAATTGCGGCTGTTAAGTTTACAGTGAGATCCATAAGCGTACAGTGTTCTCCAAGTAAGACCGATGCAGCAACTCAGACGGATATAAACAAGTCGGATGCAGTGCTCCAGTGGCCAGCTTGTGTGCAGTATCTGGTAACAACAGACCATCCTTACCCAGGTAAACACTGAGCGACACTGAGTTGGACAAACGAGTAGAGGAGGATAATGTTAGTAACTCCCAGGATCTGTTCCTCTCAGATGATGAACATAGCGAACAGGAGCGACGGTACAGTCATTCTGATCTGGAATACAGTGTAAGTTCATCTGAACTCTCTCAAAGCACACAGGAATCACAAGCTTCAGCTAACACACATAAAGAAATGAGGGTTTTTCTAGTTTTTGAGGAACAGTTAGTTCTCGTGTGCTGTGATACACGGAATGTCTGTAAATAACCAGAGCATCTTGTTATAGCGTTTTACTGTATATTTTCATGAATCAAATGACAACGGTAGATGAGCATAACATTTATATTGAATACGTTATCATACGATAGTTTGATCCATATGCTTACCCTGGACAGCTGCTGACAGAAAGCGGAGCTCTTTACAGCAAACACTCTCCCTCTCGGTCGGCATTGACAAGCAGTTGCCACACAGACACCATCGATTATGTCCCACTCTCGCTTCCTCACCTCTCTGATTTCTGATCTCTTCATTTTCATTTAAAGTTCGAGTGCTGTCTTCCGCGTTGTCCTCCTGATTTATAGTGCGCTCGGGCTCAAACTGAAAAGGCTGAACGGAAGATGCATTCATCACACTGTACTGTCAAGCCAATTAGGCCGAGGACGGAGCAACCATGTGACGTCACTACCCAGAATGCTTTGAAACGTAAACAACAATGGCGGCCTACGAGTGAAAGAATTTTCTAAAACTTTTATTAAAAATAAAGATATAGAGTTTTTTTTATATTACATTTACATAGAAGATTAACGTTGGTGTCAGCTAAGGCCAACATGTCTTACTAGTCGGGGATCCCTTTTATAAAAGATGAGACTGACTGTTTTTTACATTTTAGTAATGTAAGGTTTATTGTTGAAGTTAAATTCTGTGAAATGATATGATCTTTGATATGTTTGAAACTGGGCTAAAAGGTGTGTCAGTTATCACTGATGCTGATTAGAGTTCTATTTCTTAAGATGAAAATAATACAATGTAGCAAATGAGCATGATTCACTATTGTAAATAAACCATTTTCATGTAATAATAAGCTTGATTTGCTTCAGGCAGTTTCTTTCAGAACTTATGGATGCTTTGTGCCCATATTGTACTCTGGAGAGGCTATCTAAGCACTGACCTCAAAAATCTACACCCTCGCTACAGGCAACAGACCACCACCCTCCCCGCAGACAAAGTACAGGTGTGATGTATCACTGGGGCGGCTCACCAAGCGCTTCATGGACCTCCTGTACATGGCTCCAGAGGGTGTGCTGGACCTCAACGAGGCGGCCCGGCTGCTCGGAGCACGTAAGAGGCGGGTGTACGACGTCACCAACGTGCTGAGTGGCATCCAGCTCATCAAGAAACGGACCACCAACCAGATCCAATGGGTGTAAGTTCTGTTAGGCACCCCTGAACTGGCATGGTCCTCTTACTGAGCATGTGTCTATTCATGCGTGGGTCCAAATCTAAGTTGTAGGGTTGGTCTCAGAACCCTGAGGAGGGCCGGAGAGAGATTTCCAAAAGCCTGTCTTAAAAAATTGGCTTGTTTCCTTCCTATCTACAATGCTCCAAGAAAATCTGTGATTGGTTGGCATTGCGATGGGCCAGACACGTGATTGCGCCAGGGAGTCGGGCCAGTGTGTACTACAGCGGTTGACTCCTACCTTCCTCTATGTTGTTTCAGTGGTTCCATTCCTACCAGTGAGCTGCCCAGCCAGTGGCTTTTGAAGCTGAGGGAGGAGCTGCTGAACCTGACAGCTGTGGAGGAAGCCCTGGACGAGCTCATAAAAGACTGCGCTCACCAGCTCTTCTCCCTGACAGACCAGAAGGACGTCACTGAATATCCTTTCTGCACGATGGCCATCATCCGTCACACCCTGGTGCTCTAATGAGTCCCAGAGCACCAAAATCTCCATTCCTACTTTTTGACAAATGGACGATCCGGTCAGACCAGAGAGCAGTGTTTCCCAATCCAGTCCTCAATGACCGCCAGTTCACATTTTTGCTTGGGAGCTGGGAGGGAGCAAAAATGTGGACTTAACGTGTAGTTAAGGGTATCCTATGGGCAGGATGCCAGTTAGTCTCAGCGCTAGCTCAGTGATCCACTTTTTTGCTTCTGTACCTAGAAGTTCAAACTTAAATGATCTAAAGACTCATTTTCACATTTGAGAATTGCTTCAATCTGTGTATGAAACTGAATTGCTCTTTGAGTCACAAAATTCTGATTGATCATATATGGGTCAGAGTTTTACAAATCGTGACATTTCTTCAAAATGACTTTGTTACATTTAAGTCATTAGTCTTGAATAATAAGTCCTTGGCTGTTTGCATTAGTCCTTGACAGCCATCACCTCAGCCTATGTGACACATGAGGACATCTGCAGGATCAAGGCCTTCCAGGACCAGGTGATCATTGCGATCAGAGCTCCTGAGGAAACCAAGCTGGAGGTCCCTGCTCCCAGGGAGGTAAGCTGCAAACTCAAAAAGTACAAAGAAAAATCATGATCAGGAGAAATCTCTTCCCAGTCGGTGGCTATCAGGGACTTATCAAATCAATAATGGAGAAAACAAGAGAGATTTGAGGTCCAATTGATTACAGGGACAGACGCGCATGCACATTTCATATATGGGAATTTGGTACAATTTGATCTTCATTCAAAGCCACATACACTCACCTAAAGGATTATTAGGAACACCTGTTCAATTTCTCATTAATGCAATTATCTAATCACATGGCAGTTGCTTCAAAGCATTTAGGGGTGTGGTCCTGGTCAAGACAATCTCCTGAACTCCAAACTGAATGTCAGAATGGGAAAGAAAGGTGATTTAAGCAATTTTGAGCGTGGCATGGTTGTTGGTGCCAGACAGGCCGGTCTGAGTATTTCACAATCTGCTCAGTTACTGGGATTTTCACGCACAACCATTTGTAGGGTTTACAAAGAATGGTGTGCAAAGGGAAAAACATCCAGTATGCGGCAGTCCTGTGGGCGAAAATGCCTTGTTGATGCTAGAGGTCAGAGGAGAATGGGCCGACTGATTCAAGCTGATAGAAGAGCAACTTTGACTGAAATAACCACTCGTTACAACCGAGGTATGCAGCAAAGCATTTGTGAAGCCACAACACGCACAACCTTGAGGCGGATGGGCTACAACAGCAGAAGACCCCACCGGGTACCACTCATCTCCACTACAAGTAGGAAAAAGAGGCTACAATTTGCACGAGCTCACCAAAATTGGACAGTTGAAGACTGGAAAAATGTTGCCTGGTCTGATGAGTCTCGATTTCTGTTGAGACATTCAAATGGTAGAGTCAGAATTTGGCGTAAACAGAATGAGAACATGGATCCATCATGCCTTGTTACCACTGTGCAGGCTGGTGGTGGTGGTGTAATGGTGTGGGGGATGTTTTCTTGGCACACTTTAGGCCCCTTAGTGCCAATTGGGCATCGTTTAAATGCCACGGCCTACCTGAGCATTGTTTCTGACCATGTCCATCCCTTTATGAGCACCATGTACCCATCCTCTGATGGCTACTTCCAGCAGGATAATGCACCATGTCACAAAGCTCGAATCATTTCAAATTGGTTTCTTGAACATGACAATGAGTTCACTGTACTAAAATGGCCCCCACAGTCACCAGATCTCAACCCAATAGAGCATCTTTGGGATGTGGTGGAACGGGAGCTTCGTGCCCTGGATGTGCATCCCACAAATCTCCATCAACTGCAAGATGCTATCCTATCAATATGGGCCAACATTTCTAAAGAATGCTTTCAGCACCTTGTTGAATCAATGCCACGTAGAATTATGGCAGTTCTGAAGGCGAAAGGGGGTCAAACACCGTATTAGTATGGTGTTCCTAATAATCCTTTAGGTGAGTGTATATGCTTCTTTACTGGTTATAGACTGTTGGGGGGGGGGGTTCCCAGTCACATAAGCAATCCATTGGCAGTCTGGCCAAGCTGACCGGGACTTGTCTCTTCTCAGGATAGCATACAGATCCGCTTGAAAAGCTCAAAAGGCCCAGTCAAGGTGCTGCTGTGTGAGACAGATGGGATCGACGGGAGCCAGGGGGCAGTGGGGACCGAGTCGGGCCACTTCATGTCTCTGGAAAACGGCAGGATTCACGTGACAGCCCTCCAAACAGGTATGGAAAGCCCTTACTGCGCCGGCTGGGTATTTAAAGACCCGAGAGGCTGGCTGCTACTTGCTCTCAGAATCAGGAATTAGGGGAGCCCTTTAGTCGAACCGCCGCATAGCTCGGTGGGTTTAGCGTGCGGCTGGTGAGACTGGTAACCCTTTGGTCATGGGTTCGAGGCTGGCCTCTGGGCAACTTCATCTGTTTTGGGGGGCAGTGTGTGGCTCAGTGGGCTTAACCTCCATGCCTGTGATCAGAAGGACGCTGGTTTGAGCCTGGCCTCGCTACGTCTGTGGGTCTTCACAGCCAGCTTGCTGTCACCTTCAGAGAGCAAGTTGGAGGAGGCGTAGGGAATTTCCCCACAGGGATCAATAAAGTATCCATTATTATTAATAATAATAATAATAATATCATTATATTTATAAAAAAAAAACAGACCAGCAATGGATGGAAGCAAACAAGCCTACTTTGGAGATTCCCACAAAGAGCAGATGCCTTCGATCTTGCACGTTGTATTCTGTAATGTACAGGCATTAATTGAAGTGATAGTGTTTTACATATAACTAATGCAACAGTTCAGAGTTAAAAAACACTTGTTCTTGAGCTGATCTGTTCTAGTTATGAGAGATTCCAGTATTTTCTATAACATGTCCATAAGTTAATAAGTTCATTTGCAACCCCTGAACTGTTGCTGCAAAGGTTATGGATCAGATCACAGTAAAACCCACAGTGATAAATGCTTTCGCTTCTAGAATGTTCTTGTATATAGGGGCACTGTCTGACTTTTCAGTAAGGGCAGCGTGCCGGTTATTTTTTTTTTTTGCCCAAGTTCTTTCTGTGCCACAGGGTCTGTTAGATTCATGAGCACATCCGTGTGTCCATGTTTGGATCAGGCATCTTGTTAGCTTGGCAGTATTCTTTTCTGCAGTTTGTTGAAGATCAGTCATCCTTTCTCTGTCCTGCAGACTCCACCCATTGATCTGTGCATGGCACCAAAGGGAGCTTCTCTTCTGCTGTAGGAATCTCCGAACCCTACAGATACCAAGTAACACTAAACAGCCTATTTCAATCTGGACTTCTCTTTGTCAAGGAACCCTCATTCTTGGAGAAGTGGATTACTGTTCTTTTGGAAATTGAAAGACAACAAATCAATGGACCAGACCCCATGGTTTACATACTTGAGATTTTAAGAATGGTCAGATGATTGTACAAAGATTTATTTTTATATTTATAAATATATATATATATTCACATATATAAATGCGAAAAATAAAACATTGTGGTTTGCTTTACTGCATTGCCGAATGCCTTCGGTTTCCTTGTTCAAGTTGCCTGATGGAAACTGGCAGCTGGAATATTTCGCAGATCAAGGTGGTGGCCTGTCTGTTCCCTCCAGTTCAGTGTAGTTTATCTGATCAGGTACAGCCGTAATCGTACATATGCAAGTTACCTCTCCACTTGCTGTAAGTAGTTGTGGATTTGTATCGAAACAACAAGTGAAAAATCATTTGAAACCACTAGTATAATTTACTGCAAATTCTTAATTCTGCTTTATTTATTTTAATGTAACCCTAAAGGGCTGCTTGTTAGTTCTAAATTTACCATCGAAATTTTATGCCAAGGCCAGTGGGACCTATAAATGTTGAATGAGCCAATGTTGTTGTTTGTGTTTTGAATGGAGTCTAATGGTTTGCATCAAGGGTATGTGTCATTGGTCTGGTGCACCGTGTGAATTGGTTGAATCCCATATTTACCATGCCTGTATAGCTCACCCTTACTTTATCACCCACGCCATTTAACATTAATAACTGTGAATTTACAATGTGATTTGATGCCCCTATTTTGTTATTCCCACTGTCATTCAGGCCACCTGATTTCCTTCTGTAATGCTTTATAATATGAGCTTCGGTGCTTTGTTTTTTCCCCACGCTTTAACAAAAAGTTTGACTTGTCTGCCATGGCTGATTGGGAGGCTGGATTTTTTTGTTCCCAAAACACTGAATAAAACTTAGAACCACAGACAAAATTATTCTCTAGCCATCACCTAGAGCCCTTGGTGCCTTTTACTGGGTTATGTTGCACTGAAAATGTTGTCTGCATGTGCATCTGGGATGAGGAGACTACAAAGCAATTCATTTCTGTCAATATTAAATATATGGGATGTCTATGGATTGTTTTGTAAGCAAGCCTTCCGTTTTGATGTAAACCGTGTGCATGAGGACAATAGCACAAATGATTAATCAGTTTAGTGCTCTTGAGGACTAAAATCATGCACAGCTTGGCTTGCCTTGACCAAGCCTAAATACCACTGGACACCACTGGGGGGTGCCGCATTGTCTAGGTAATTTGGTGAACTTCTCAGAACAATAATGTTCTCACTCATTTGCAAAATATTACCCACATTCATCCCTGATGAAGAAGCAAAATTCTTCTTGTCGCTTGAGCCTCGTGATTGATTGCCAGCAGCATAGGAGTGTAATGGTACACAAAATTTATGGTTCGGAACACACCCTGGTTATGGGTTAACGGTTTGGTGCAATTTTACACAGCCCCTAAAGGGACAGGGTTAGATGTTTGTTTGTTTTTTATCTCTTTTGCCTGCCCTCGTAATCCTGTCCTGTGACCTATACATGTTGTGCACTCATTTGCTGCTGTGCCACACTTTCTGACACACCCAACGCTAATGCATCATTATCATGTTCTTTTTTTTACTTTAAATCTGGTCTTAAATACACAGATATAGTATTAATGCTTAATTCCAGAGGATTTGTGATTACTTAAGTATTGCAAGGGAACACATCTGTTTCAAAGGAATACTTTCCAGCCCTGACACCTTAGGAGCTCCAAACAATTTTGGTACAACAGGTAAACAGAATTTGTTTTGAAACTGTGTTTGCAATTTTAATTAAAAATGAGGAACAGTTATAAACCAAAAATAAGGCAATGTCTGTTGATATGTCTGAATAACAAAACCATGGAGATGTTCATTTGCACACTAAAAATAAATGATTAAATATAAAAATTTAACTGCATCATAAATTATGAAATTCTGTGTTCTCTACTACTGAGTATGGTCACACATCTGTAGTGATAATCACTGCTATAGCCTTAGTTTGTATCATTTATTGGGAAACCAAAATGTTCCAAAAAATTGATTTAAGTAACATGGGGGGTTCACTGTGCATATTGAACCGAAAATGATGTAACCATGCAGCACGCAAGAAATATGTGTGCTGTGACAGCCCTATAGCGGGTGGCTGGTTTCAGATATCTGTGTGTCAGCTAATAGCCAGTGACCAGTAAGAGCATATGACCATTGTCTGTTTTTTTTACTCTTCATACCAGAAAAACCTGGAATGTCAGCCACTTATTTCCTAGAACCAGCTATAACATTTCTATTTTAAAAAGTGGCTGTAGTGATATCTGCTAAAGCAGTTGCATCAATCAAGATGAACATTTCTACACCTTTGCAAGGTGAATCAATGTTTATCTGATGTATCATAAGTAGCTGTGTTTTTTTTTACAAAAATATAACAGGTCCTGTAAATAGTGTTTTGGTGGCTCTGGGCCAGCATCCTAACTAATGATGAATAAACCACTTCAGCAATGTCAAGTAAACATTCCAGATCACATATTTAAATCTCAAGCAATGTCGACTTGCAATGTGCATGTTTGAGAATACAGTAAGAACAGATATTGATATGGGCGTTGAACTATGCAGAACAAGAATGCTGTAACACGTGGAACAAAAATTCGAGCTTAATTAACAAAATACTTCCGCATATGTGAAATAACAGAACGAGCACTTTATACCAAGTTAGGAGTCAAGTAAAAACGAATTAACAGGTTGAAAAATCGTTAACATACTGGAAAAATTAAGTGCGTTTTTTTTATATATATATATAAAAACCTGGTTTTCCTTTTTATGAAATTGAACCAACGTTTGACATGAATTCCAAAAATTTTACTATTGTTCGATGTTGATATAAAAACTGTATCAATATTAATGATAACGCATGATGCACCGTCATAGAATGTAATTTACAGGAAAGAAGGAAAGAAGGGTGATTGCTCAAGGCGGCATCACACAATTAAGTAAGCCAGAAGTATGTCGCAACTGCAAAGTTACAGTTTCTCGGTTTCAGTATTAACAGCCAGCGCTGGACTAGCCATCCTGCATACGTTATCGTGGGAGACCCCAAAGACCAGGGCCGATTTTTAATTACAGTTTATCCCTGTTTACCGCCCCAGCTCATCAGGGTTGCCAACTCTGGTCAGCTGGCTGGAGTAGGATGTTCAATTCGAGACAAGTCTGCACCGCACAGACATGTATGTAAAAGTTTTATTACCTTGTAAATAGTCTGGAGGATTTGCAAACTACCCAACAATTTTTATATAGATAATTTTAGGTTTATAATAGAATAATATAGATTTGCCGTAAGTTTTATTGCGTGAGTTTGAGAGTGAAAGCGTGAGTGTCACGACAGATGTGTGAGAGCTGGCAACCCTGGTAATGCACGTCATGTCGTTCATTATTCCTTAAATATTTCAGCTACGTGATTTAATACACCGGTTTAGCTATGGGTCATTTTTCAACTCACTCAAACAAATCAGTAACTGCGCGAAACAAGTTACAAAACAAAAAAGAAGTAAACAAACGATATCATCTGCGAAAGGAGCTTGTCTTAAATTAAAAAGACAAGCTCCGTAACGCACCGGAGCGCGCTCTCCTACCTGCGCGCCTCACCTGGATAAAGGCCCCGGATGCCGCACGGATCTGCGCTGTGACCACGCCCCCGCCCCGCTCTGATTGGTCCGGAACAGCCCCCCTTTTTGTTGCCCGAATAGCGCGCACTGTCACCTCCTCCTGCACCTTTAACACGTTACTGCTCTGGAAACCTGCCCTGTCTTCAGAGCGCACGGGCTGTTTTGATTGTTCGGAACTTTTTTGTGTTAGTCCTGTGAGGAAAACACTTTTTACACTTTTAATCAGAAATAAACAGATGTAATTTAAAAAGACTTTGACGCGTGCAATTTGTAAAGTTGAAAGCAGCGTGTTCGTTTTCCAAGGCGACACCCTCGACGGCGACTCCGAGTTTATCGGCTGGTTTTGAATTTACTCGGAAATCCTGGTGGGAATAGCAGAACTGCAGCTATGGCTTACTCTGACTGATTTCGACAGATGCGATTTTTACACTTGTATTCTGGTGTTGGACTTAAGGGGATTTCAATTCCATCAATATTTTAACGTTACTGGGATATTGTTAAACGACTCCTAACAAAATGCCGGATCAGATTACAGTTTCGGAATTTATAGTCGAGACCAATGAAGATTACAAAGCGCCCACTACTTCAAATTTCACCACTCGCATGTCTCATTGTAGGAGCACAGTTGCCGCTTTGGAAGAGGTGAGTCAAAGCCCCATGAACACCATGACAAGATCACATTGTTGCTTTTACACGCCCGCAGTTGACTTCTTCATTTAAATATCTGTCAGATGAATATCGCATAGTTTTATTTCAAGGTGATCCGGTAGGGTCAAAAATGCTGAACATAGTATATTTTTCTGTTAATATTCAGATCATCTTAATGGTACATGCAATTTTACTTGCCTCATATTCCGCTGTAATTTCCATAACAGATTAGAATAATCCAGCGCTCACTAACTACCGCGAAAGGTGAAGTGTTTATTTAAGTGGTTAAAAGCGTGAAACTTGGTTTCTGTATTGCGGTTGAATGCACTGTGGGTCTGCTAGACACACCAAAGCGGACACCAGCATAAGGTGAACTCAAATGTCGCTGCTTATATCTGCCGCTTATGGGTTATACAGTTATACATTTTCCTTCCTGTTTAGTTGGTTTGATGGCGTATCTAGTTTTTCCACAATCGTATATGTAATCGTAAACGTCCGAATCTGAGGCCCTACCTGTCCTGCCGCTAGAATAACTTCCCCTTTTCATCAAATTGCTCCTGATAAATGTTAGGTTATAAGTCTAAATATATAAAAAAAAAAACCTACATTTTAATAATGTCAGAAGTCAGAACGCAGGTGTCGTTTTGTTGTATATCTTGCCATATGCAGTTCCGGGAGGAAACTCATTATTCCAGTCTTGAACGAGTATACGTTAATGTTCATTATAAGTTAAAGTAGGGATTATTGTATTGATTTTTATTAAACTGTTATGCGTTTACAACTCGATTAAATTCAATCATATATGTGCACTCTTAATGTCGATTATATGTTTGTTTTTTGTGTTTGTTTGTTTCCTGCATCAATCTTCAAACATAAATTGTGTATGTATATTGTGCAACTGACTGGAAGCATTTTTGGTTACCGTGAATAAATTATCGGATTAAAAGTTTCTCCACATGTTCAATCAGGCTTGTCGAGAAGCTTTCTTTAGAGGCATTTCAGGCACATGTTTCAATATCCTATTTTATCTTGGTAATTGAAGTTTTCCGTATGTTACACGAGTTAAAACGAGTGCAGCGTCTTATAGATTTTAACTGCATTGCAGCTGCGCTTATAAATGACCTAAAAACCGTAAGTCACCATGATGAGAATCTGCATGTGGTAACTTGCTCGTGTCAATGCCCTATAGATACAATAACAAGTGTAGTAATTACTTGAGATAAAAGATGTCAACGAACATGAGATCAGTATGTAACTCAGACTTAGTTTGTGGTTAATTAATACATAAGTGATAGCATAATGCTACATATTTGTGCCCCCTCAAGTAAAGTGTTACCAGATTTTTTTTTTGCTTGCAACAGTCGACACATTGACTTCTATTACGCAGGGATTTTTTTTTTTTGGCTTTGAGATGTAAAATCTCACAAGGTAGGATGAAAACTGGGGAAGTCCTCAGTAGTATCAGTGCAGAACTAAGGACAGCAGGAATTTTTCATGACATGAAGATAAAAAGTGTGCTTTTGACATGGCTGCTGCCGCTTATATAGTAAATAAGGCTGCAACGTAAAACAGTGTGTGTCAGATTAATTGGTTCATATCTTAAGAGCTTCAGTCATTTATTGCTGCCTTTAATTTTATCATCCAAGCGGCTAAATTAATTAGCATGCTGCGATGTGATGGGTGCACTGTCTGATGCCCCTTGGCTGTTGGGTTACTTGTCCTTTCTTGGGGTGCACTGATCATGCAGAGGTATCATCAGCACACACAGCTGTGTAACGTTTTCGGTGTTCAGCTGAAGCGTTCGTGCCACTCAGGCATTTTGTACTGTTTCTGTGGCCACATGCAAAACTTCACCTACCCTCCAGATGTTTCAAAATAAGCAGCTAGCGAGATCATTCGAGAATATAGTAACTAACTAGCTGGTAAGCAGAATATGATACTTCAGCATCTCCTAAATAAGGAATGTGTTTATTTAATATTTATTGTAGTGGCGGTTTCTGGCTAACAGGCAGGCCCCAAACATTGGGGGCCCCATGTAGACGGTGGTGGTAAACGCTGGTGCCACTGGAACTCTCTCCCAAGGGACCGACCCACAATCAGGGACCTGTAAAGCCAGAACACAGGATCACTGATTTTGTGAAGTCATTTTAAAACTCAATAAAACGCAATAAGAAGAAGCGTAGTTTAAACAAAACTATTTGGGCTGCACTGTTTGTATAGCACGGGATGACTTAGTAACATAGTAATAATAGCAATTAAATAGTAAATACCAGTATTCTCCATACTTTTATAGGGGAAGCCCAGTGAACTTTGTTAGGGTTATATATGGGTTTATCCAGTGGCTCACACCTGCACCTGTGCTGCACCCTCCCATCACATTTCACGACTGCCTCAAGGGGGGGGGGGGTGAAGGGCTCTGTGCCTGTGATCAAATCTGGTTCAAATCCCATGGTCAACAGAGTAGCTGTGTCAGTGTTGGGCCTTTGGGGGGGTGAAGGGCTCTGTGCCTGTGATCAAATCTGGTTCAAATCCCATGGTCAACAGAGTAGCTGTGTCAGTGTTGGGCCTTTGAGCAGGACCCATAACCTCGAAAAATGCTTTGGGGCTGCCGGATAAATGGCTGGACCCCAGGTTTGACTGTCACTCGTATGTGTGTCTCCTGTATGTGCTCATACTTGTACAAATGGCAAATCAAGTATCATTGTTATCATCTGGCTTTCTGGTCTCACTGTGTGTAAGTCAGGGTCTCCAGGTCACGCCTTCCTTCAGAAGGAGTGCTCACACTGCCTGAGGCTGACCTAATCCAGTCCCAGCATGCCTACCATACCATCCATCTCCTGCTCCTCCTTCATCTGTTTTTTGTCTGTTCTGTTTCTGTGAAGAGCTTCTCGCAGTTGTTTGCATATGAAATCAGCTGCTAAATGACACCACAGCAGTCTGCCTTTAACCAAGCGGTCAAAACCAGGTTTCTTTAGCTTTATCCTGTACAGACGCTCCCTGGGTTATGATGCTCCTTGTTACGATATTGCGACTTTACGATGGGCATTCCAATTCCATTCTGTTTTTCACTTTCCGTACATTATTCAATAAATTACATGAGATATGCAGCACTGTATTATAAAATACGGTTTTGCCCAACTGTGGGCTAATTAAGGTAGGCTAGGCTCGGGTAGGTTTATAGTATTAAAAATGCACTTTTGCATTACGTTAAGTTTATTGGAATGTAACCCCACCGTAACCCGGGGAGCATCTGTATTTACAACCAGCCATCACTGTGCAATAGCAATGACCTCATTTGTGAAAGATTTTCAGTGTTGCTGTTTTTTTTTCTTCCTGAAGTCAGCTCTCATAAAATAATTATATAATTGCAGGAGTCATTTGACTGGATGACGACTAGACCTGGAATAATGAGTTTTTGTTTTTCCACTGTGATTTCTGTATCATGACACCTGAGCAACTAGCAGTATTTCAGCCCAGCAGTATCTTGTTCTAGCAGGAAGACGATGTAGTCATTTTATGATGATTCTTGAGGATCGCAAAAAGTAGTTTCTCGTGTTCCAAAGTTCTCTGAGTCACATGACCACCACCTCATAAACACCTGTGTTATTTTTTGTGGGGGCATCTCTGACAAAGGTGTACAGTTCAAAGCAGGAAATGGAGTAGCTCCTTATGAGGAAACGCTGAATGGCTTTGTTCTTTTCCGGCAGGTGGCACACAGTGACCAGGAGGGAGTGACGGTTTGTTGCGTGGTTTTTGTGTCTGTGACATATTTTCAATGAAAACAACTTGGGGTCTTTGAGGAATGTTGGCTTTGATGAGAAAATATCAATATCAAGTGACTTGAGGACAAACAAGCCAGTGCTAACTTTGCTAACTCTTACAAGTGGCTCAGTTTTTTCCGGAACATTCTTTTGGAGTTGGACTTGTGGTGCTTACCTCGCATTGTGGGTTGTGTCTAAAAGAGGGTGCATCCCTTTGTTCAGGCAGTGCGTGGCTCTGTGGGTTAGGACTGCGTACCCGTGATCAGCTGGTGGCCCCGGTCAAAGTCTGTGATTGGCATCATGATGTCACCACTGGCTTCTTGTGCAAGGCCCTCAACCTCAGTTAGTTACTTCAGGGACCGTCTGACCCGTCTTTTGCAATTTAATGTCACTTTGGATAAGTGTGTAATAAATAAATTAAATAGAAAAATAACTGCAAGAGCTGCCTTCCACAGTCATTAAGAAAGGACAGCAAAAACACTGATTTGCATTTCTTGGCATGAGGTTTGATTTTGAGACATACCGAGCATCTGTATATAGCAAGGACATGTTTAATTTTGAAAGTGTTTCTGGAAACGTCTCTATATAGACACTGATTTATTTCATACAAACTAGTGGGTTGCTTGAATCGTAATTCTGTTTATTAGCCAAAATTCCACTAATTACCTTCAGCTACAGAACAAGACACAACAAAACTTGCTTCTGAAGACCAACTGTAGAGCAGCTTAAACTTTTACTTGACCAAATTTATTTAGTTAAATCTAGGCCTTTCCTCACCTTTTACTGGTTCTGTGCTCAAAGAAGGAAGTTTTTTCTAAGGGCAAATTCACACTTGGCTTGATTTAGCCAATATAAGTGGAATTGGTGCATTTCTCACGCAAACGAGCCATATGTGAATGTTCCAAATGAATTCAGACCTCCCATAAGCAAACTGAACTCAAACCACCTAAAGTTCGGTTCATTTCAAGTTACTTAGCAGTTTTGTTTGTTGATATGTGAACAGAATGTGCACCCAGCTCACTTCACTTTTCTCTGTGCTTTTTGGCTGTTACAGGTTACCATACAGTGTCAATATCACAAATATCAGAACATTGTTATGAATTCTTCAGATACATTACACTTACGCATAAGTCTCTAATAGTTAAATAAGTCTTTGCCAATGTGAATCCAAAGAGAACTGAATTCTCTCTCTTTTGGCATACTTTCTGATCCACTTAAAGCAAACTGAGTTTGACTATATGTGCAAACACCCTAAGACAACTCGGCATATTTCTGTATGAATTAGGGCCAGGCTATGGGTGAGTCACCGGAATTTTGAAATGTTTTCTTCCTAAGCTGTTTACGTTGGTACGACAAGGACTTCTGTAGACATTTTGAGTTACTCTTTTGTACAAAAAATTCAATTAAAACATACCACTCAAAAATGTAGCAGAGTGGACGGATTACAATGTCCGAGAAGTGTTGAATTGGTCTTATACCATCTCAAAAATATGGCATTACATGTTTTGCTCCAAATGACTGAAATTGCATTTATCAAAAAGGTGTTGGAAGTTTTGTCTGTAGCTTTAAAAATGATACCCTTAAGCTGCAAGCTACATCCAGAGCAAGGCTATGTTACCTCCCATTAGTTTGTGTGATGAGCCCAGGTATGTGTATGTCTACTTTATACAGTATTATAACAGACAAAAGCATGATTGGAGTGATGTTTACCTGGAGCCACAGAACAGAAAGAATTGGGCAGCTGGTGTTTGGGTTAAAAATATATATATTTATATATATTTATATTTTTATGGCCTAAAAATGAAATCTATTTTTTTCACAGTAAATCTGATTTTCGATTTTAATCGATTTCCCCCTCCCCTACTCAAAATCAAACTACAGATGACAAATAAATGGTTCAAAACAAGTTTTAACTTTATTTTGATTTGTTTTTTTACTTTAGAGTTAAAGTGCAATCTGACAAGCCGAAAAAGATGCTTGTGAGATGGCAAACCACACCATTGTAAACGCTTGTAGAAACTTGTAAAACGTTTTAGCATGTTAATGAATCCCGGCTTTTCCACAGTATGTATGGGCACCATGTCTTATCATATAGCACACCGTTCGAAAACGTGTCAGGGACCGTTGCTTGCTTAACTTTGGATGTTGTAATGGTGCTGCGGGTATTTTCATTTCGCTTGGAGCTGCACTTCTTCCACTCTGCTGTGTGCCTCTGCTTTAGGTGCTGGAATAAATTTGTCGTGCTGCTTCCTTTGGTTGCAACAGTTTTTAAACAGACTTTGCAACGAGGACTTGTTTGGTCTGTGTCCGATGGCGGAAAACCGAACCATTGCCATGTTGTTTGTGAATCCGCTACAGTGTTTGGGTGCGGCGCCCTAATTTACCCGTGTAGAACGGTGCGTCGCATTAGTTCCGCTTTTGGCGCTCGCGTGTAAAATAAGTAATAAAATCGATTTTCATAAAAACACATCGTCCTGAACTGTAAATTCGAATTAATAGATAAAAATCGATTTATCGCCCACCTCTAGTTGTAGTTGTTTCGCCCCAAGTGACTTCATTATCACCTCAAAAAAAGTTATTCCACACGTTCATTAACTTCCTAGAGCAAATCTTGCCGCTTTTAGTCATGCTCCTGTGGAATTCCTCTTGCGGGGCAGGGACCCTTGAAACAAGTAACTTGTGGCATTTAATGTGTGTTTGATTAAATGTGAGCTCTGCTTAGGGTTGAGAACATGCTAGATAATTGGCGTTTATATAGAGGTGCCTGTAAATGCATAGATATTTTTTACTAGATCACTGCTAGAATTTTACTATACCACTTCTTCTTTTGTAGGATCATACAGATACCAGAGTAAATAATGACGATAAAGTTGAAAGCATTTGAAACCCTGAGCAGCTCTAAATGCTATATGAGTGCATAGTCCTTCTTTCCCAGCCAGGTGCTAAAAGATACTTGAGTGGGTAAGAAAGATAACTGACGGCAGGCCTTCTTCCCCCTAGGCTCTGGACGGAGACCGCAGTGTGCTGCAGAGGATGAAGAAGTCCGTGAAGGCTGTCTGCAACTCTGGCATGGGTGAGCGGCTTCCCTGACCAACAGCTGCTGCTGCTCCTTGGCCTGTCGGCGTGTGTCCCTGTGACCGCGGGTGACAGGGTTCACTATGCTGCGGTTCTACATGCCATTCCTTTTCTACGCCCTTTCAGTATTAATTGAGAAAACCCCAGCCTGAGTCAGGGATGTAAAATGATCCCCAAAGGAGGAGGGGGCGTGCACAGAGGGCGGTTTATGATTGGGTTACTGCCAGTCAGGAATGGCCTGGCTGCTACATTTCTTGCATTCTTATCTCTACATGTCCTGACAGGACTGTGGATCGCCTTAGCTTACAGCTCTGTGTGTGTGTACCCGTCTGCTTTTTTGTGTATAACACCCTTATATGGCATTCTGGTGTTTCAAATACAGTATCTATGTGTGCACTACATGTGTATCAACAATACGATTCTCCCGTTCCTCTGTCCACCCTCTTGGTGAGCTGCCCAGTCTCAGAATGGTGCTTAGCCTGAACTACACCAGTATAAAATCTGGCTCTACAGACAAGTAAAATGGATTTTTCTTTCCAGTTTGCTATTGGAGCGTTTCCCCTTTGGTGCCTCGATTAGCCCACAATGTTTCCTGTATGTTGACCGGAGCTGCCGCAGCCTTTGGTGCCTTTGTGCTCTTCCTGGTGACAGAGCTCCTTGTTTGTGTGCAGGGTCACTGTCGGTAATGAAGGTTGAGTTTCACATAATTAAATTTCTGTACCGCTTTTTCACACTCAACGGAAGAACAGTTGAGCACTTGGTAAGCACAAATAAAGACATAAATGGAGCCGTATTTAGCTCTGTATGTTGGGATTCTGAGCTGCAATGAGAAGGTTGCCGGTTCAAATCTCATGGTCAGCAGAGTAAGACCTTAACCCCAACTGTTCCAGGGATTAGCTGACTCTGTTTTCTTAACTGTTCCTTGCTTTGGATATTAGCATCTGCTAAAAATATAATGTTAATTTGTCTAAAGGTACATACAGGGTCTGACCTGCTGTAGTTGGGGTTAAGGCACTTGCTCAAGGGCCTAGCAGTCACTCAGCAAGCCCTGGGATAATTAAATTAAATGAAAATAACATCCACATTAAAACTCATTACCTCCATTCACTATGTCCCAGAACACTGAATTAGATACAGCAAATTATGGCACTGTTGATCTTGATTTTAATTGGTCAGAAGAATGTTGATTAAGTTTCTGTAACTGCACACCTAGTGCCAACCAGGCAAATCACAGTAAATGAATGCACGATTATAATCTTTACTTCTAACTAAGGTCACTTCAAATCTCAGGCGTAATGCCCAAATTAAAAATAAAGTGTGGTTTCTTATCTGTTAGACAACAACAGTGCTTCTGGTTGAGAACCAGGACCTGTGGTCAATGATTTAATACCAACATGATATCATGAGAAATACCCACATAGTCCAGTCATACTTTACAGTCCTGTTTAACCTGCTTAAACGGGATAAGCAAGTCCGATTTTAATTCAGTTTTTCCCATAACAGTTGAATAAACCGGTTTTTTGTTTACTAACATCACTGGGTGCATCCAGGGTACAACATTGCTTTGGTAGTCCGTCTCAAGATTGGAGTCAACCGCGGTAATTAATGTAGATTTTGCATTGTTTGTAAGTTCAATTCAATAATAACATTCCATTTACGAGTTGGATCTGTTTGTCTTTCATTTGCATATTAATATAACGATATATAAAATGTTACCTGACAATAGGTAACTTTCAGTGTAGTCACACAGGTCTCTGTGAAACGGCTTGCTATTCATCTAAATGTTTATCTTAAAGGACCTAGTCAAGTCAAAAACATTTATGGTTTTCTGATACATCTTGTGAATTTTGCTCAACTTACCTAGTTTTGTTGGTTGTTAAGCCTGTCTGTCCTTTCCTGGTTTGACAATATCAGGAGCAGGCTACATGAAAGTAAAAATCTTTACAAGAAGGCTATTTCACGACTAGTACATCTGAAATTGACAGGTACTGCAGACATACTGTACAAGACATGACAATTATAGCTATTATAGAGCTATGTATGTAACAGTGAGGAAATGACTGGCATGGATTATGCTGGAAGATAAAGTAGCTCGGACTGCCAATTACCTCAATAAATTAGTTCTCAGTAGTGGTGATAAATTGCCAGATTCCTACAATATTCCTGACAACAGATGGATTTTTGATAGGTTCAAGTGAACAGCAAAAATATGGCCCGCTACCTCAGACAAGGGAAATTCTGTGTGCATACAAATCCTTAGATGCATATAGTTATGTGCATGTCTGTAATGACGTTGCACAAAAACCTGTCTATAGTCTCGTTCTTCAGCCCTATGTTGCTGGAATTCAGATGTTCAGGTCTCCACTACAGTTGGTCAGCTGACCACCTCACATATACAAAGCAAGACAGGGAGATGCTAAGTTGTAGCTATCAGGAACTGATGCCGGTCACCTCTTATGACCTGCGGATTGTACCACTCTGCTTGACAGCAATAAAAGCATTAAGTCGATAACATATTACTTGTAGCTTGTATTACATAAGTAATGTAGTAGTATACTCTTACTTAATGTATTAGTTGACCAGAAACTTAGTTATTTACTGATGCCATGTTTATTCATCATTATTTCACATATTTTATGCAGTTACTATATTTTTTCATGATTTGCATTTGAGTGTAACTCAGTGACTAAGTTACTTGTGCCCCCTCGAGTAAAGTGTTACCAGAATATCAAATAATAATAACACAGATCAAAAGAAGCCGTGAGTAAATGGACAGAATTATAAACACAGTCTACTAGTTATCAGTTCGGGCAAAACTGTCTTCTGACGCCCAAAGGGTAGCCGAGCCATGGCTGTTCAAGTCATGGTCTGCAATTGCCGAGTCCTGTTGATTTCCAGCCTTCCTTTACCTGTCAGGTGTGAAGCCTCTGTGGCCAATCAGAATCAGTAATTATTAAACTGACTACCTGGGAAAACTGAAAACATGGCCTGGACTTGGAATCAAGGTCCAGATTTGAAGAGCCCTGACCTAAGTGATGTTCCCCAAATAATCCTCATAGTTCTAATTTCTATATTACTGTGAGCTGAGGCGAAAGTCCTTCCCTAACCCCCTGGCCCCCATTGCCAAACATGCGTCATAGGACTCGAAAAGGGAAATGAAAAGTAAACACTACAGTTCCAGTTTTACACTTCACTTCCAAGAACACACACATAAGTAAGCGTTGGTGAACGACAAGCTGTGCATGACAAATTTTTAAACACACAGAGGCAGAGGCGAAGAACCGCATGACGTGCATGTGCGGTTATAGAAAATAAATCAGCATCCCTCTGACCAATTAGAATTGAGAATTGAACAGTAACTTGGTATAGTATCTTATTAACTGCAGATCATCCAAAATTAAAGTAGTCTGCCATGTTAGATATGAAGTTAATGTTCTAGAGGGCGAGAATGATACAACTAGGAGGCCATAAATTGTACACAAAATTAAAAGCCAAAGTGATGATTGTTAATATTCTGAGTCTTTGGTTCTTTGAGTTTTTGCTTGTTTCTGGTCATTTTTGTTTATGAGGAACTCTGCTCTCTGGTTGTTTAGGGAATAATTGTTTGTATTTGGAAGATTTCAGACTGTTTCAGTAAATGTTTCCAGTCTTGAAACCCATCTAACCTCACCAGTAAGGGCAGTTTTGCATCAATTTCTAATGCTAATGCTAACTATGACCCTTAACCCTTACCCAGCCCTAACCGCAATCATAAGTAACCAAACATAATACGAGACTTTTGGCATTTTTTACTTTTTTGATTGCATTCACAGACCTCTTTGGAGACCTGAAAAATGGTCCCCACAGAGTTAAAACAAACAGGTTTTTATTACATTGTGAGGGACATTTGGTGGAGGATGTGGTCTGTCCTTGGTGGTGGTGTGCTGACATTACCCTGGATACTGTGACTCTTGATACACCACAAAGACTTGGTGTCCTGGTCACAGATCCGCCAGCGAGACACATACCAACACTTTGTCCTCTTTTAAACTCTGATATGTCTCCCATTATGTTGTATAGATTTCAATATTTAATGTATAGCTGTGGTATTGCACTGCTGGTTCAACCTTCACACTCTGTTCTTACTGATGGAATATGCAATCAGCAGAGATTATATAGGCATGAAACCTCCAACACTGTTTCAGCTTCATTATCCAACATGAAAAATCCACATGTGCCAGACAGTGGTTCGAATTTCAGGTTCTACTATTTGAAGCAGACTTTTAGGGAGCTTCTAGAAACAAGACTGCATAGTTTCCTTTCCAGTCATTTCAGGTGATTCTCTCACCTTAACTATTTGTTCAGTTCTGTAGTTATGTTTGTTTATTTTAGGTGAGGCATCAGACTGTGAGCTAGATAAACAAAAGGAATGTAGTAAAGTAAACTAAATGAGCTGTTTATGTCTGTCTGAACCACTGGTGTATCTCAGTATTAACATATAATTAATATATTAACATACATATCTTTCAGCCAATGGCTGGGAATACCAGAAGAAATAAACATTTTTTTTTATTATTTCTGAAATTTTGAGGAGTAAAAAAGTAGATCTTAGTGTGATTGGCACTTAGCAAGTCTTAAGATGATTTTTTTGGATGCAGGGGTTCTGTTCAGTCATCATTAACTAAGTTAAATCCTGTGTTAGCAGTGTAAGGAGCACATGTGGACAGAGCTTTCCAGGTCCCCAAGTTCGTAGTGTCAGTTTAGTGTGCAACACGGTGAGGCTGCCACTCTGCTCAGCACGTTTCATTTTCTATCTCTGGTTTTGTCTGCACGCGCACAAACGACTGTGCACCAGGGCCTCACCATCCCCTTGCCGGCAGCTGGGATTGCATAAGCTGACAGGAGGAAACCTGTTTGGAGTGGGAGCTGTCGGTCTGGTTGTTTTGGCCATGCCTGAGTCAGTGTCCTTGAGCGTATTGGTTATCAGGCAATCAGATATGCACACCTCCATCCTTCACTGCAGCCTTTCTTTGCCACTGTGAATATTCAAAGTGCTTTTCTGCTCATATTCTGCATAATCTTCTGCCTAATAGCATATCATAGTTGGCCTCAGCGTTTCATATGCGAGTTAAGTTAAAGGTTTTGATTGAATTAAGGTTTTGCGATTCAGGCATTCAGGTTTTGCTCTCCCAGTGATCCTAGGCGCTCTTTTTTCAGGCAAGATTGCGCGGGCAGGGTCTCCAAAGGCAAACTGGTCCTTGGTTAGTGGCCAGACTAAGAGTGATACTAACTGACCGTAAAATCTAGTTCATACTTCACTTTTCCACATGTGCTATGGGGCTGTTCACACTAAATTTGGCTGCAGATGCAGACAGTCACGGTCGGTGCAGACTTATAGCAGTGATACTCCACTAGACCAGCAAAGGGCGGATGCATTGTAACAAACACAAATACAAGCAATGCATTGAAGTGGGTAAATTTTTATGAACTTGATCCTCCATTACCAAAACTGACTTTAGGGACAAAGAGTGTAAGCTCTGTGGTGGGGAAGGGACCTGAGCTGGTGCAGCAGGTAGATATAGTTGGACTCACGTCAACACTCAGCTCAGGCTGTAGAATCAGAGTTCTGGAGAGGGAGTGGAAGAGTTGCCCTGGGTGAGAGGTGCTGGGCAGGTGTGGGTTTAGTCATAGTCCCCCAGTTTGGCACCAGTACATTGGAGTTCTCCCCGGTGAATGAGAGGTCACTTTCCTTCAGCTTCGATTCAGAGGACGGGCTTTGTGACTTGTCTGTGTGTACGCACTGAACACCAGTTCAGAGTATCCAGCCTTCTTGGAGATCTTGGGGGGGGCTGAAAGGTGCCCCTTCTGGGGACTCCATTGTTCTGCTGGGGGACTTTACACTCATGTGGGTA